TCTTTACCTATTTCTGCTTTGTATTGGACTGATGAAGCCACTGTATTGCGAAACGTTTCCTTAATAAAGATTCCCATATGTTGCATACGTGTCTCAATCATCAATTTGTCGGTTTTCAAAGCCATTTATCACAGTTTTCTCTGTATTAAGACTGAAGAAGTCACTCGTGGCGAAACCTTTCCTTTAATAAATGTCCTGAATTGTACATAAGTGTCTTTTTCTACATAAATCCAAATGCTTTAGGTAGCGGTGGTTTTGGTAAGGACCTGCCTTGTATGGGCCAGTAGGCCTTCTGCAGTGTTCCTCCATTCTTATGTTCGTATGTTAAGATGGTCCTCAGACAACGTGACAGACTGAAGAAGCCTAACAAGTCTCTGGGCCCCTGACGAACTGTTTTCAAGAGAAGTAAAGGAATGTACAGTAAGGAAGAACTTACTAAACCATTAACTAGCCTCCTTCAACAAATCACTACAATTAGGTATCGTACCAGAGGTGATAAATGGTTTTAAGAAACCGACAAGGTGAAGAATGAGACACTTGTGCAACATTTGGGAATCTTTATTGAGGAAACGTTTCGCCACACAGTGGTTTCATCAGTACAATACACAGAAAAAATATGGAGATAGAAGAGGAGTTTGAGGTGATCAGTTCCTCAGCCTGGAATCGATGATTTCAGTCCATCGATGGACTAAAAACATCAATTCCAGGCTGAAGGACTGATTACCTCAAACTCCTCCTCTATTTCCATCCTTCTTCTTTATATTGGACAGATGAAGCCACTGTGTGGCGAAACGTTTCCTCAATAAAGATTCCCAAATTTTGCACAAGTGTCTCATTCTTCATTGCACCATATAAGGAGAAATTGGCAAATGTGACACCTCTTTACAAAGAGGGAGATAGGATCTTAGCTTCAAATTATAATTCAATCAGTCTAATTCAACTGCAGAAATGTTGATTGAATCAATAATTGCAGATGAAATTCGAAGGTACGTTGAAAGGTATAATTTGATCAATGACTCTCAGGACGGTTTTACAAAGGGGCGTTCATATGAGCCTTAAAAACTTTTTGACTAAGGTATCTGAGGCGGCTGACCAAGATAAGAAATACGATATTGCTGTGATAAGAACAATAAGCGGTTTACTGTATTATTTTGAGATGTTTGGTCCACCAGGTACTTTTTCAACTCTCATCTCAGTTATGAACGTGGAAATTAACATGAACTATATATTGTCTTATTAATATACAAGTAAGTAATTCTACAACTGATATACAATATGACAGTATTGTGTATATGAATTTCTGTAAGGCATTTGATATTCACACGGGAGACTGTTCAAAGTAGCGGCACATGGAACAGGCGGAAAAATGATCTCCTACCTGAAGGGTATTCCGGGGATCAACGCCCCCGCGGCCCGGTCCACGACTAGGCTTCCCGGTGGATCAGGGCCTGATCAACGAGGCTGTTACTGCTGGCCGCACGTAGTCCAGCGTACGAACCACAGCCCGGCTGATCCGGCACTCCTGGACTGAGCTATAGTTGACCGAGAAGCAACAATGAATTTGTATAAATAGGAAGAAATCAAAATGGGGACCCGTTACAAATGGTGTTTTACATCATTATTCATCCATGGAGGGGGCGCTAAACCCATAAGAATGGTGTTCCGATGGGGTCAATAATAGGACCTGTGTTCATAGTATACATAAACGATATAGATGTAATAATAAACAGAGATATAAGCAAGTTTATCGGTGATACATTATGCAAGCCATCAACTAAATTCTTATGCGGACACTAGAGACCTACAGAATGACTGTACTAAGTAGATGTTGTGGCCAGTATAGTGGCAGATGCAGATTACTGTGGACACATGTATGGTTCTAAAAAAGAAAATATCTATGGTTCTTATAGATTCAACTAGCTATATTTCATTTGTTGTGCGATCAGCCGGGTCACCATCTGGGACAGACCCGGGCCGGGACAATACCGGCGAACCTACAACAAACCATACCACGGGCGGGGTTAGAATCTGCGATCAGAGAGTCTCAAAACTCCAGACCGTCGCGTTTTGAGACTCTGATAGCGGGTTCTAACCCCGCCCGTGGTATGGTTTGTTTGCAATCGTGTCATTACTATTTCGTGAGTCATGGTACAACAACAACACGCGATCCGGGAACCGTATCCCCGTATTACATAATTCCAGTCCTGTGTGCCTCAATGTACACAACTGGAATAGTGCAGAGTGCGGTATAAGTTAATAATGTAGCTAAATATTAGCATTGAAGATTTGAACGGAATCAGAAGCATAAAAATATATGGGAACTAATATCCAAATTTCTTCAATAAAAATGGTAAATTAGAACATACTCGTACATACCCCAGATCTATTTAAAATCTTTCAAAGAGCAACGAAACCAGTATCTTTAAATACAGAAGTATATTAAGCTTGAAGCCGCTCAGATGCTGCGGTATCAAGTTATATGTATGGAAGGGTTGAAGATAATCAGATGCAACGCTCAGAAATTATCGCATGAAAAGCAGTATTCCAATTTTCACAATCCAAACTTTTATCAAAGTAAGACTGATTAGCTTTTAAGAAAGTTCTATGAAGGCTCAGTGTACATAAGAAACAAACTTACAGCACTGGTCTTGACGGCACACAAATGTTATAGACACATAAAAGAACATTAAGTAGATTTAACTTAGGATAAACAAAGTTAAACACTATCTTATGTCTGATCACAAGACATATTCAGCAATTATTTCACAGAAACAAATTTGATTAACAAAATTGGCACATGACTTGCATATCATCAAGAGATTGTTACCTTTCAGGAAAATACATCAGCAAAAGCTTCAAGCTGACCAGGAGATGCATTTTCAAGTTACTGCACACAATCCTACAAAATTTGTGGCTACACAGCCTAAACTCATGAAACTTTCCATTCATTTCATAAGATTCATCAACCATTGAACCACTGATGTAGTTCTCAATTATTATATACTGATCAAAGGAAAGTGCTAAACCTGTAGGGATCATGGGTAGAAGGATGACGAAGTTGATCCAGTGACAGAAACTTTGCACTCTTTGGAACGACGTTAATTAGGGGAGATATGATTGAAATGTAGAAATGCAAAAACAAGAACATATATGGGGATATACTGTAAATAACGTGCTGAACTTATCTAAGACATGAATCTCAGCAATAGGTTCAAGTTTCACAAATTTAGGTTTGAAGAAGATAAATGGAAGGGACTGGTTTAGTAACAGAGTTCCTCTCAAGGGAGGTTCCTTCATGTTGGTGATGGGCTCTTGATAAAAGGAATTGGAAATATACTCCAATTACTTGAATCAACCCTGAATGCCTTCCATTCCCCCAGGTGCTCTATAACCCCTATGGGCTTAGTGCTTCCCCATGGATGTAATTAGCACAGCAATAGAGTTGTGGCTGAGTAGAGCTAAGTCCCTGGCAGCTCCAGTGAAGCAAAAACATTGGTTAGTTTTGAATATGCTGTAGGTTGAATGTACATGAGTGGGTATTCTAGGTGTGAGTTGAACCTACCTAGCATGGCCAGGAGTGAATATGAAAATGGTATACAATACCGAACACTGCAGTAGGCCAGGAAGCCTACTGCACTGTTCCATTATTCTAATGTTCTTATCTGGAATACTTGTATCACAGACGGTGGAACCTCAACTCGCTAGTAACAGTCATAACTCTACTGGTAAATAGGTCTGTAGGAGAATCCCTTTAAATTGGTAATAGTTTACTTTCCAAGTTTTAATAAAATGTTAATCAAATAAATTATAAATTAAGCGTGGCCTAGTGGTTAAAGCTCTCGCTTCACACGGTGAGTGTCCGGGTTCGATTCCCAGCGAGGGTAGAAACATTGGGAGTGTTTCTTTACACCGGTTGTCTATGTTCCCCATTAGCAAAATGGGTACATGGGAGTTAATCGACTAGTGTGGGTTGCATCCTGGAACAACACTGACCTAATTTGCCCAAAATGCTCTGCATAACAAGCGGCTTTCTATATAGTAGTATGTCACTGATGTCAGCTAGGACTGTATACCTTGTACATGTACTTGTAGAAATAAAGATATTATTTTGTTTCTACCTCTCAGCTCTCTCTCCATGATGTTTAGACTTGTACACTTCCTTCCAGAGTGGGGTGTAGCTCAGTGTTAGAGTATTCGCTTTGTATGTGAAAGTCCCTGGGTTCGATTCCCTGCACCTCCACTCACGGGGATGTAGCTCAGATGGTAGAGCGCTCGCTTAGCATGCGAGAGGTACGGGGATCGATACCCCGCATCTCCAGAGCTATTTTTAAAATATTAAATAATTAAATATAAAATATATTATATAATATAATTATATATATATATTTTTAAAATATTTTTAAAATTATATTAAATTAATTTTTAATTTTAAAAATATTAAAAAATAATAAAAATATTTTATA